GGTTTATTTTTTTCCCCTTCTCCTTTTTCCCCCATTTTCCCCCATTTTTGTTTTTTTTTTTTTTAATTTCCCCCATTTCCCCCCATTTTTGCATTTATTTTTTTCTATTTTTCCTCATTTTCCCCCCATTTTTTGAGTTTTTTTTTTAATTTCTTTTCCATTTTTTTTCCATTTTCCCGCATTTTGGAGGGGATTTTTCCCCATTTTCCCCCCTTTTTTTCAATTTTTCCCCATTTTCCCCCATTTTTGCATTTATTTTTTTCTATTTTTCCCCATTTTCCCCCCATCTTCCCCCATTTTTGGGGTTTTTTTTTCCATTTTTCCCCATGTTTTTCCCTTTTCCCTATTTTCCCCCATTTTTGCATTTATTTTTTCCCCATTTACCCCCATTTTTGGGGTTTTTTTTCCCATTTCCCCCCATTTTTCCCCATTTTCCCCCATTTTTTTTTCATTTTCCCCATTTTTCCCATTTTCCCCCTCCCCCCCTTTTAGCCCCTCCCCTTTAAACCCTCACCTTTCTAGCCCCTCCCCTTTGGCTCCACCCCTTTTAGCCCCTCCCTCTTTAAGCCCCACCCATTTTAGCCCCTCCCCTTTTAACCCACAGCCCATTTGGCCCCTCCCCCTTCACCCCTCCCTTTTAAGCTCCTCCCCTCCTTTAGCTCCTCCCACCAAGCCCCTCCCCCAGACCCACCCCTTTAAGCCCCTCCCACTCCAAATTTAACCCCACCCCCTCCTTAATCCCTCTGCCAAGACCCTAATTAGCATAACTAATGAGCCTAATTAGCATAATGACCTGGGCGGGAGCTGGCCCCTCCCTCTCGGGGGCGGGAGGGGGCGGGGCTGGCGCCGCCTTCGGCTCCTCGGCCAATTCCTCGAAGAACTGCGGGAATTTGGGAATTTGGGGAGGAATTGGGGAATTTTGGGGGGAAATTTGGGAATTTTGGGAAAAAATTGGGAATTTTGCGGGGAATTTGGGAATTTTGGGGAAAAATTTGGAATTTTCAAGAAAATTTGGGAATTTTCTGAGGAAATTTGGGAATTTTGGGGGGAATTTGGGAATTTTAGGGGGAAGATGGGGAATTTTAGGAAGAAAATTGGTAATTTTGGAGAAAATTCAGGAATTTTGGGGGTAAATTCGGGAATTTTTGGGGGAAATTGGCAATTTTGGAGAAAAATCGGGAATTTTGGGGGGGAATTTGGGAATTATGGGAGGAAATTTGGGAATTTTGGGGAAAAATTTGGAATTTTCAAGAAAATTTGGGAATTTTCTGAGGAAATTTGGGAATTTTGTGGGGAATTTGGGAATTTTCTAAGGAAATTCGGGAATTTTGGGAGGAAATTTGGGAATTTTACGAAGAAAATTGGGAATTTTTGGAGGAAACCCAGGAATTATGGGGGGAAATCGAAGAAATTTGGGACATTTTGGGAATTTCTGGGAAAATTCAGGAAATTTTGGGGGGAAATTTGGAAATTTTGGGGGGAAATCAAGGAAATTTGGGAAATTTCAGGAAAATTCAGGAATTGTGGGGTGGAATCTGAGAACTTTGGAGGAAAAATTGGGAATTACAGGGGAAAATTTGCGAATTTTGTGGGGAATTCTGGGAATTTTAAGGGGAAATCTAAGAATTTCAGGAAAATTTGGGAATTTGGGGAAAAAAATTGGGAATTTTGGGGGAAAAACCGGAAATTTTGGGGGGAAATTCGGGAATTTCAGGGGAAATCCAGGAATTTTGGGGGGAAATGGGAGGAAATTTGGGAATTCTGGGGAAACTTCAGGAATTTTGGGGGGAAATCTGGAAACTTTGGGGGAAAATTAGGAATTTTAAGGGGAAATTTGGGGAAAGAATTGGGGAATTTTGGGGGGAAATTTGGGAATCTTAGGGGGAAATCCAATGATTTTGGGGAAATTTTGGGGAAAATGCGGGAATTTTGTGGAGGGATTCAAGGATTTCGGGTGAAAATCCAGGAATTTTGGAGGCAGTGTTTGAGAATTTTGGGGAAAATCCTGGAATTTTTGGGGGAAAATCCTGGATTTCTGGAGGAAAATCCTGGAATTTTTGGGGGAAAATCCTGGAATTTTTGGGGGGAAATNTCCCTCCCCATTCCCGGGGGTCTCACCCTCCTCCTCCCCCCCCTTCCATTCCTCCTGCTTGGCCCCCGCCGGCCGCGCTCCCTTCGGCATGGCCGGGCACCGCGCACTGCGCATGCGCCGCCACCGCCGCCCCGAGCTGCTTCCGGGCCGCGACGCCGCTTCTCATTGGTCCGCTCATCCTCAAACCCCGCCCACCGCCCACGCGCCTCTTTTGCTATTGGCTAGCACCTTTTTGTCCCGCCCACCCTTGAGGTAACGCGTTCTCCTATTGGTTGATCCCGCCCCGCCAAGTACGCTGCGCTGCTATTAGTCAGCTGATCTGTCAATCACGCTGCGGGGCTGAGGCGATACGCAGTCCTATTGGCTCCTCCCCTCGGCGTGTCTCCTCCCCTTTGCGCCTATTGGCGGAGCGCGGCCCCGCCCCGTCACGTGCGCTCCCGTCATGCCCCGCAAGCTGCCGTTCAGCGCCAAGCGGAAAAAGCAGCAGCTCCGGGACCGGCGGGAGCGGAAACGGGGCGGTGAGGGAGGGGCTGGGGGCGCGGCGAGAGAGGGGAGAGACCCCCGGGAATGGGGGGGGAGATCCCGGGGATGGGGGCCGGGAGCGCCGGGAGAGAGGGCCGGGAACACCGGGAGTGGGGGCTGGAGCCTTCAGATCATGAGGGGAAAGACCCCTGGGAACGGGGGCTGGGATCTCCGGATCATGAGGGGAAAGACAATTGGGAATGGGGGCTGGGATCTCCGGATCATGAGGGGAAAGACCCCTGGGAATGGGGGCTGGGATCTCCGGATCATGAGGGGAAAGACCCTTGGGAATGGGGGCTGGGATCTCGGAATCATGAGGGGAAAGACCCCCGGGAATGGGGGCTGGGATCTCCGAATCATGAGGGAAAAGACCCCTGGGAATGGGGGCTGGGATCTCTGGATCCTGAGGGGAAATACCCCCGGGAATGGGGGCTGGGATCTCCGAATCATGAGGGGAAAGACCCCTGGGAATGGGGGCTGGAACCTTCAGGTCATGAGGGGAAAGACCCCTGGGAATGGGGGCTGGGATCTCCGGATCATGAGGGGAAAGGCCATTGGGAATGGGGGCTGGGATCTCCGGATCATGAGGGGAAAGACCCCTGGGAATGGGGGCTGGGATCTCCGGATCATGAGGGGAAAGACAATTGGGAATGGGGGCTGGGATCTTCGGAATCATGAGGGGAAAGACCATTGGGAATGGGGGCTGGGATCTCCGAATCATGAGGGGAAAGACCCCTGGGAATGGGGGCTGGGATCTCCGGATCATGAGGGGAAAGACCCTTGGGAATGGGGGGAGAGAAACCCCTAGGAATGGGGGCTGGGATCTCCACTTTATGAGGGAAAAGATCCCGGGAATGGGGGCTGGAAGCCCCGGAATTATGAGGGGAAATACCCCCGGGGATGGGGGCTGGCATCTCCAGATCATGAGGGGAAATCCCACCGCAGTTATGAGGGAAAAGACCCTTGGATTATGAGAAAAAAGAACCCAGGAGTGGGGAGAAAAATCTACTTAGGAAGGGGCCCAGGACCCCTGGGCTGGGACCCCCGGGTTGGGGATCGGGACCCCCGGGAAGGGGATCAGGACCCCCGGGAAGGGGCCAGGGACCCCCGGGCTGGGGGCTGGGACCCCCGGGCTGGGGATCAGGACCCCCGGGATGGGGTCAGGGACCCCCGGGCTGGGGGCCGGGACCCCCTGGATGGGGATCAGGACCCCCGGGAAGGGGCCCGGGACCCCCGGGAAGGGGATCAGGACCCCCGGAAAGGGGATCAGGACCCCCGGAAAGGGAATCAGGACCCCTGGGATGGGGACCGGGACCCCCGGGAAGGGGCCCGGGACCCCTGGGCTGGGACCCCCGGGAAGTGGACCGGGACCCCCGGGATGGGGCCAGGGACCCTCGGCCGGGAATCAGGACCCCCGGAAAGGGGCCAGGGACCCCCGGGAAGCGGCCCAGACCCCCGGGAAGGGGATCGGGACCCCCAGGCTGGGGATTGGGACCCCCGGGAAGGGGCCCGGGACCCCCGGGCTGGGACCCCCGGGAAGTGGATTGGGACCCCCGGGAAGGGGCCCGGAGCCCTGAGCCCGTCCCGGTGGCGCAGATGGCCCGGCCGGGCCGGCCTCAGGCCCCGGCAGCCGCAGCGGGAGCCGCGAGCGGGGCGGCGATGGCCCCCCCGGAGACCCCCCCTCAGAGCCCCCCCGGCGCCACGACCCCGGCAGGTGAGGGGGAGCGGGGCTAACGGGAGGGGGGGGTTTAACGGGAGTGGGGGGATAACGGGAGTGGGGGGGTTAACGGGATTGGGGGGGGAACGGGAGGGAGGGGCTGGGCTAAGTTTGGG